AATTGCCAAGTGTCATTTTTGTAAATAAAGCTGTCGAGATTCAAAGTGCTTGTCCTTGTATACATTTGTAATTGCAGTATGATTTATTTAGAATCTTCTATTTTTGTTTGGGGAGGGAGATGGAGTGAAATATAACATTTGCTTCGAAGCAAATGTTGGCCTTTCTAGTTAATTATAGAAATTATATCTTATTATAATATAAGATGGTATCAATGTTAAAAAGGGAGTGTAATTAAACATAGAACCTAGAAAATTTTAATGTTTGAACCAAAATTACTGATTAAAAAAACTGCCAGTTAGAAACCCGTTCAGGCGCTATCTGAGATGAAAGTGGGTGCGGGCCTCAAATGCCTGAATAGGGTTAAGTTGGATATGCGATCTGTTAATGATCTGTCATGGGGACTAGCCGTGATTCTCTCTCATGAATTCTTTCTCCCCCTGTGGCATAGAACCATCCTGCGCAGACCTCTAGTGGCAGCATTTGGCATCAAAGACGTCCTTGGCTACGTATGTCACATGTTTAAACATAAACTCATCATTTACTTTTAAAATTAATGCCTTTGTCCTGGTGTTGCAGGTAAACCAGACGGACTACATCGTTGTCTCACCTGCAGCTGCGTGCACACACGTCATTCAGGTACGGTACTTGCCTTTGGCAGTCTTTGGTGTGGGGTTCCGAAGGTTTCTCGAAGATGTCGTCCAAGAAGCTGTTCCCAAACGGCGAGGCAGCTCGGGAAGGTTCTGTAGGTCGCCATGGAAACCGGTTTACCAATGGAATCGTCATGGCGCTGTCAGGACTCGCGGCTGTGGTGAGTGTCTTCACCCTGCTGTTCATGATCCAAGAGATCGCCTCCATCCGGGAACAACAAACGGCGATCATGAAGCAACAACTAGATCTGAGGGAAGAAATACAAGCCTATCTGAAGGATCAGATCATTCGGATGCAGTTGAAGCAAGAGAAGGAGGCTAAGGACAAGGTAAGGATTATTTTGACATTTTTTTGTCACCAGAACATGTAACCTGGAAAAACAGCACGCTTCCAACCAAAATGTGACTTGAAAGGACATTTTTCAGGTCACTGCTGGCTGCTGTAAAACACTTCTGACTGAAATGTTTTAGGATATTCTATTTGGGCTTGTCATGGGGACCATTAAAGCTGCTATTTAAAATTCTTTTGTGTAAAGTTGTCTTAGAACAGATCGAAATCAAGTTTATACATGTCCCAAACCTAAAAGTTCATAACGTGCAACAATAGTTTACAAAAGAGAAACCTCGAGCTTCGTGGTAAATTACAGTGTCCATGTAGTCGGCAGATACTAGTGGTACAACCCGGGATCTAAGAATTTCTATCCCTGCTTAGAGGTGTAAATGCGTTCTCCTCGAGCTCAGTGAATATAAATGAAAATTAGAAAGGCCGACATTTGCTCAAGAGCAAATACAGCACATTTCACCCATTCTTCCTCCTCCAAATTTCCCTTAGAAAGGCCAACATTTGCTAAGGAGCAAATGCAGCATGCCTTCACAATATTCCTCGTACCAAAAATGGACCTATCCCTCCCGCACAAATGGATTGTTCCTAAATCACCCCTGTTCAATATGTGAACTGCTCCAACAGTCTATAACCACATGGAACATTGGAATCTTCCAATGCCTATGGCAGTTGGAACATGTAGAACCCTGGTAGAATCCGAGTGTTCTATTTAGAATGTGTCAGTTGGAGATTTGGGTTTTTAAAGCTACAATCGCTGTTTTAACTCAAATAAGGTAAATTTAAGTATTTTAAAGGGTTGAATCTGCATAGTAAATGCTGTAGTCTAAGCATTTTTTGCCGATTTACCTTTATGCTGAGTTTCGGGTCATTTGGTTTTCGTATTAGTGAGTAGGAGCCTAAAATGTACTATTTCGTCAAAAACAGCTAAAAAAAGTCACATTTTACATAATTTTAAAGTGGCACACGCCAAAATTGTAAATAAAGCTCTGTGGAATTGTACCCAAGGATCTCCTACACCAAATTTCACGTCATTTGGTTTTAATATTAGGACAGAGGAGCCAAAAATGTACTTATTTGTCCGAAAATTGCCCAAAAGCCCTATTTTACACAATTTTAAAGTGGCATATATGAAAAGCTTCAATATCATTCTGTATACATTTATCCAATATGTCCCTATACCAAATTCAGGTCATTTAGTTTTAGTAACAGGGCTCCAGATCCCAAAATGTATATTTTTTGCCTGAAAATGACAAAAAAAAAAAAATTAAAGGCCTGTTCCGACCAAATAAAAATAAAAAAACGTCTGGGGGTATTTGCCCAGTCTTCATCATTGCTAAATTCCAGGTCATTCGGCTGAAAAATGGCAGGTTTGAATCCCTTTAAATAAATGGCAGGAGGAGGACGAGGAGGAGAAACATAAGGAAAAAACAACACATTTCTCCCATACAATATTATGGGTGAAATGTAAAAAGTGTCGTCTTATAGCGCTATTCAATGTTTTCTGTCTACTTGTGTAGTAGATTCTCATTCGATTGTAGTTGTTCGCTGTAACGGAAAGATAACAACATTTCGGAGACTGCATACTTTCATGAAATATGTAGAGTTTATGTTTAAGTTTTTTGGGGGATTTGTATCATTAAAAAATAAGGTTACTATAGTTAAATTTATGGTTATCTAAACTCAATAATATAATATTTTATTTAATAATATATTTTATTCAATAATATAATATAATATTTTGCTTGTGAAATCTCTATCCTGTAGCAATATTTCTAGTCAACATGTCCTCTTAATTATGCAAATGACCTCTATATTAACATTTTATACATTTATACATATTAATGTTAACCTTTAAGTAACTTACACATGTCACAAGGAATAAAATTCCCATGATTCACTATTAAGAATTTTCAGAATTTTCAAATTAATTTTGCAAATTAGGTCATTATTTAATTCATTGGTATCTGTTGATGTTTCACCTGAGGTAGATTACACACATTATATGTATTTGTTTATTTATTTATTTACTCAAAACCCTAAAGACCGGCAAATCGTGAGGCCCGGATGATATTACTCCACACATCCTAAGACAGGTAGCAGACGCCATATCTGCACCCCTGACACGGCTCTTTAACACATCACTCACCCTCGGACAAGTCCCTTCTGTATGAAAGTACTATTATGTACTGTAATAACAGAATCTCTTTTCTCTTTATTATTATATTTCAGTCCATACCATTGTATGGATGAAATATATTGTGTTCCCTCATGTTTCTTCTTCTCCTTCTCCTCCTTCTCCTCCTCCCGCCACACAGTCAAAGGGATTCAACTCTGTCATTTTTTAGTCAAATGACCTGAAATTTTGCAAGGAGGTAGAGTGGGCCAATACCCCTAGGCGTTTTTTTTTTCATTTTGTTGATACATGCCTTTGAAAAATTTTTATGGAGGTTTTTTGGGGCATTTTTCGCCAAAAAATGGATTTTTGGATCCTGAGCCCTGGTTTTACAACCAAATGATCTGAAATTCGGTATAAGGGTACCTTGAACCTGTGTCTACAGAACAACAGTCACATATTTGGCATACACCACTTCCAAATGACTCATTTGGGGGACTTTATTGACTATTTTCAGCAAAAAAAGGGCCAAAAGTGATATACCCGTTCCATGTTCTATCTAAAGAATGGCACGTTCCATCTACCGTTGACCATGGAACACGTGTTCCATTGCGGGTTACCTGAGGTCACATTGCACGTAAGTCGTGCGTAATGACCCACACATTCAACTTTATGTGCCTAAGACCTTCAAAATGTATCAAATCTCATCATTGTTAGTATTTGCATACCTGTAAGAAGATTAGTAAAGCTTTCGAGATTCAATGTGCTTGTTGTTGCATCTTTGTTCTCAATTACATGGCTACTGTATAACTCATTTATTTGAGAATCTTTGCCAGTTTTACACTGGGGTATATAAGTTTGGAATAGTCCACTTTTGCGTGGGAGGGAGATGGACTGAAATATGCTGTATTTGCTCCCAAGCAAATGTCGGCCTCTCTAGTTATATTTCAGTCCATACCACATGACATGGTATGGATGAGATATATTGTGTTCTCTCATGTTTCTTCTCCTCCTTCTCCTTCTCCTGCCATTCCGTATAAATGGATTCAACTCTGTCATTTTTTAGCCTAATGACTTGAAATTTGTCATGGAGGTAGAGTGGGCCAATACCCTCAGGAGATTTTTTTTATACATGCCTTTGAAAAATTTTTATGAAGGTTTTTTTGGGGCATTTTTCGACAAAAAAATAGATTTTTGGATCCTGAGCCATGGTATTGCAAGCAAATGATCTGAAATTCGGTATAAGGGTACCTTGAACGTGTGTCTACAGAATAGCAGTCACATATTTGGCATACACCACTTCCAAACGACTCATTTGGGGGACTTTAGTGGCTATTTTCTGCCAAAAAAGAGCCAAAAGTGCTATATCCGTTCCACGTTCGATCTAAAGAATGGCCCGTTCCATCTGCCGTGCTGACTACAAATGTGCGGAAATACAAACACACACATACACACACACACACACACACACACACACACACACACACACACACACACAGACAGACACGCTTAAAACAATGCCTCCATTTTTCATGGAGGTAATTATCTTGTTGTCAGACCGTTGCATCATTTCGCCCGGAGGGCCCGACTGGTCACGTGCGCTCAACTGGAGAAGGGCAACCTAATGACAGCGCCACCTTTTGGAAACGTGCGGAGATGCATCACAGATCCAAGAGGGACACCTTGGACAATGCTACCCCATTGCAGAACAAATTGGAAGGTAAATGTGTGTTTGTATGTGTGTGTGTGTGTGTGTGTGTGTGTGTGCGTGCGTGTGTGTTCCTCTCTAATTAAAACAAGTGTCCATAGGCGATGATTCTCCACGAAACTTTATATTTTGTAGATTGGGAACTGAATAGTATAAAAACGAACTGGGTCCTAGGTGCAATGGGCAGCATGGCCAACAACGTGGACGCCATCGCCAGGGGATGGGACCGCATCGGGATCAGAGCCACTGTGAGCCGGGGGCGTGAGTAAACAATAGCCGCCTCCATGTTTAAACTTTAGACTCGCATGCTGATTAAATAAGTTTTTAAAAAATCAAGCAAACTTAGACAGGCACGTATGTATTCAAGGCCCCCACGCTACGTAAAGAAAGGCCGCCATGTTGTATTTCTTATGATTTGTCAATCCGCTCGGCGGTAGATTTTCGTATGATTCTTGCCCTGTAAATACCTGTAAATGTTGTAAATTATAAATTTTCTTAGGATGTATGGAAATCTATGAAATGATTTTTGTATTTAGCTTTGGTGAGTAACGTGGAACCCTATCTTTCAAAGTGTAGACAAAGACAAAAAGATTTTATATCCACGCCCGGTGTGAATACAAAATATTTTTGTCTTCTATATTCACACCCGAGATGGATATATTATAAAGAATTTTTTGTCCATCGATATAAATTTCTATGTAAGATTTTTTGTCCGTTATTGACACTCCCGGTGTGGATACGTATATTTTTATCATACCCGTATGCAAACTTTGCCGCTCTGTACTTATGGTAGTCTTTGTAACGCAAACTCTGCCGTCCGCGGCTTTGCTGACACCCCCCCCCCCATCCGCAGGGCGGCTGTCGATTTAATCAGGATATACACATGGTAACTTGTAAACTTTTCAACGTTTTCCGGCAACTTAAGGTTTTCATTTTCAAAGTCTTTGCTTGTCACCTTACTGTGCTCGACGTTGGTGGTTTTCTGAAACTCCCCGTGTTGAAAATTCGTCCCCAAGCTTCAGGCACGGCGCGGCCTCGGGCGATCTGATTGGCGCAGGTCCCTGTGTTTTTAACTTCGGAGGAGATTGTCAGCCTTTTAGACATTCGCTAAGTTAAACTTAAAGCCCCAAACACACACGAAAACATAAGTTTTGGGCCTGCGCGGAGGCTATACAAACTTTTTGTCTTTTATATCCACACCCGGTGTGTTAATAGCCACGGCGTTTGTCGTCAGCATGATTTTAGAACGCCTAAACGGATTATGATATTCGGTATGTTGGTAGGTCATAGCCTCTACCAGGCTCCGCGGATCGCTGGAAAAATAGTAGAAATGGGCCGAAATAAAGGGATAGTACACCAGAGAAGATCCAGCCGGCCATAGAAGCTCCAATTTGCGACCCACGGAGCCTGTGCGGAGTCGCAAGCTTCTTTGAAGTTCACTAATCGCTATCTAATAGGTGCAAAGTGGTTAAGTACCCCTTTTATTGCTCTCCGACTAGTCCGTGACGGACCTGGCACGAGCGGCCATGTGACAGGAAGTGTCAGTGGTCACGAAGTTTTGAAGTAATAACGGTCTTGTCTCGTCTTTTTCCTGACGCATTTTTTGCCCTCTGACTTGCACTGGCGAACTTTCCTGACGTTCTGTGGCCCTTTCCGTATGTTGGAGGTTATAACAATCCTCTATCGTAGTTTTCTGTGTTATTCTTTGTCCACAGCCGTACTTTTTGTGGCAGCTTTTTGTTTTACTTGTAAGATAAACAGTTGTATAAACAGTCACATGATCTGTCCTATTAAAGTCAAAGTTTACTGTGCGGATTTCTGTCTGCTGCCGATGGCAGTCCGGGAACGAGTTCGCCGTGTGGCGAAGGACGTTTTTGGTTCTGAAACTTTGCGGCAGGGTCAGGAGGACGCCGTGTTGGGGATTTTGGATGGGCACGACGTCTTCGTTGGACTGCCGACGAGGGCCGGCAAAACATTCTGCTTTCAGGCCATACCGTCGTGCATCAACTCCCCCGAAGGAGATGCTTACCGTTTGCTACTAGGCGTGGCCCTCTGGTCCGCCATCGCGCCGGAGTAACCGCATCGTAACGAAACTATAGCGTAACGTGGAACCATATGGCATTTGTATCGCAAAAATAACCCAACTTCAGTACATTTCATCAACAGCAAGAAAAAGCCTCGGTCTTATGTCAGAAAAAAAACACAGATAATAGGAACATAATGTGAAAAAATATAATTTTCGTCGCGTTTTGCTGTCAGTCTCTATTTGACCTTTGTCCCAGACACAGCCACAGTGCACACACACCCGGCTGACACTACCAGGTGCATAAATGTGAAAATTATGTGAATTTCGTGCAAAATTTCAAGGAAATGTGAAAAAATGTGATGTAATGTGAATTTTTTTGAGGTTCAACAGCATCACATTTTATCACATAAGTTCACAGAAAATCATATAAAATAACATTTCTGAAGCGCGACACCTTTATGTGAAAAAATGTTATTATTTTGCGTCACATTTTTTTCACATTTGCAGTGAACGGTCCAGAAAAATCACATTTTCAAATGTGAAAAGATGTTATCTAAATGTGATGTTGGATCTCCTCCCATTATGTGAAATTATGT